TGTCTATCTCTGTCACTAAGACTCAGTTTCTTGAGGTCAGGGACACTAGAATACATATGAACTCTTTTATTGCCCCTCTTGCCTAGTATAGATCTGGTACACAGTAGGTGCTTAATCAGTGCTTGTAGTCTAAGGGAATGAACAGTGTTACGGATGACTGAGAGCAGAGATGATCATCTTCTTCAGACTTGAGCTCAAGAGAAAAACGTAGAACGAATAGTTCCCTCACGGGTGCTTGTGTGATGTTAAGGCGTTCTGGGTGGAGAATTTTGCTGCAAAGATTCCAAAGCAAGTTTCTGAGTGTGGACTGAGCGGGCCTAGGACAGGCAGCTTTCAGGGAGTGGGCTTCTGGGCGTGGCCTGGCGCCCCCTCTCCCCTACCCCTCTGCCACCCACTTGCCAAAGTGCCACACCTGGATCTCTTGTTCCTCAAGCTGCCATGTGAGCCGTCAGTCTGCGTGAGTTGCTTCCCCTGCCTGGAGCCCATGGTCCAGGTCTCTGAGCAGGAAGACCCCCAACACTGTTCCCTCCCTCCTCTCAATATAGTTACAAGCCCCTCTGCTCTGTTTTCTCGAAACTCACTGGTTCTGCATCCAGCCTGTGTTAACCCTCGTCCAGAAATCATCTGTGAAGTGGGGGATTCCAGGGCCTGGCACCCAGAGCATTATCTGTGGACCAGCAGCATGGGTGTCGCCTGGGCACTTGTTGGAATGTGAGTCGTGGGCTCCACCCCAGACCCACTGAAGCAGCGCCTGCATTTTAGTTGGCAAGTACAGCAGTGGTCTGTATGACACTGATTCTCCAGTTTCTAACGTTCAGTCGAGTTTGACACCCACTGCTCACAGGGGTTGCTCTGAGGATGAAGTGAGACTCTGTATAAAATCAATAAACATTATTTTTCTGATTACTGTCCTAATCATGATGCTCAGCATATGTTATTACATTCATTTGCTTAACATATCTGCTTTCCCTGGGACATGGTGAGCACCATGGGGGCAGGACCTCTGTCCACCTTGTTCACTGCTGCATCCCACATCCCACGGCTCCGAGCTGACCCTTAGTCACTGGGTAAATACTTTTCAGATGAGTGAATAGACATTATAGAAGACAGTGGCCAGCTTAGGCCTCTGTCACTTCTCTGTCACTATATTTGATGGGTGGAGTGGGATGGAGACCAAGGTTCTCGAGTGCCTGCCGTTGCGATGCGCATTTACACATTACTGAAGTCGATCCTCCCACAGCCCATGAGGTCAGTGTCATTGTCTCCACTGTTCAGACGAGGAAGCAGGGTCTCAGGGTAAGGAACCTGCTGGAGAGGACAAGCTAGGAGGTGGCAGGGAGAGATCTGCTTTCAAGATGCACCCTTTATGTGAGTTGGTTGAGCTCTCAGAAAAGGAAGGGAAAACACGGTGCTCAAGAGCACATTAAGGAATCCCATTTGCTTGTGTTGTAGCTGGAGAGAAAAGACCCCTCTGAAGACAAGGAGGACATTGAAGGCAACCTGCTCAGGCCGACCGGTGTGGCCCTGCGCGGAGCGCACTTCTGCCTGAAGGTCTTCAGGGCCGAAGACTTACCGCAGAGTGAGTCTGGTGCCCTCGCTGGGTCAGAGGCCAGCGACTGTGAGGGTGGACCCTGGGCTGGGCCGCCTCAGCATCCTGGGGGGAGGAGACCGAGGGGCTGGCCCTCTGCCCACTCCCTGCCTCCCCTTGGCCTGGCTTCTGCACCCGAGGGTCTACCAGATCCCTGCCCCCAGCTCTCCCTCCGCTCTGCCATCTGGGGAGGGTGTGAGGCCTCAGACCCTGTCTAGTTTCCCCAAGGGTTTTTACGGTTCTTAACAACAGAAAAGCAGTCAGAATTAATGAAAAGTAATTATCAATGCTGCTGGAGTCCCAGAGATGCAAGAAATCTTGAGAGTAACAGCTGCCCCCGGGGCTCCATCCCGGCATCCCCTAGGCCCGGTCTGGTGGTTTAGCCACTCCATGGACCCATTTTCCCAGTTCTCACTGGGGAGCCAGCACCATTTTGATTCTGTTCTGTGCTCACCTAACGGCTAGATCGCATTGATTTCTTTCCCTTGTTGAGGAAGCCCCAGCCTGCACGTTGGCAGACCCTGGGCTGGGGAAGCAGTTGCTGACATGTTGGAAGGGCTCAGCGTCTCCACGGATGTTGAAGTGTCCAGTTTGCCTGGGACTGTCCTGGTTTTAGCACTGAAAGTCTCACATCCCCAGAAACCCCTCATTCCCTGGCAAATTGGGACAGCAGGTCACCCTAGCTGTGGTCATGTCTCCATCATCCCAGGAAGACCACTGTGGCCACTGCCTGGTTTCCTACAATGACTAGCCCATGCTAGCCCTACCCTGTGTGCTCCATCAATGCTGGGGGAATTACGCTGAATATTCTAGAGCCATGGGTGTCAACCCAAGCTGCACGTTAGAATCATCCTGGGAGCTTTAAGGAAGTGGATGCCTGGGCCCTTCCTCCAGTGCTTCAGATTGGCTTGGTTTGGATTGGGGCTCACACATTGATAGTTTAAAAAGGCTCCCAGGTGGTTCTCTGCCTGCCATCTATGAGCCACTATTTGGGAGCACATCTTAGCATAATTAAGGCAGTTGCTGTCCATAGTAGAGTCAGTGAAAACGAATAGTCCGGGACTATTTGGGTCCCTGTTTACAAGTTTTGCATGAAGCTAATTGTTTCAGGATTTCCGCTTTGACTATCTGAGCCATATAAATGGGCTCCTTCTGTACAAGCTTAATTGAACCAAAATCCTGGGGAAAGCCTTTAGATAAGTAATGGGTTTTAGATGGGCATTAAAATACAGGCTTAAGAACATTCTGCATTTGTTGCTTGAAACTATGCAGAAGGGAGGCTGGTGAGCTTCCAAAGGGGGCTGGGGAAATAGAAATGAAATGTTTGCTTTGAATTCTCTGCAATGTTCTTTCAATATAAATACAACAAAAATAGGTGGGTAAATAGAACAGAAATATTCACTAATTGTTATCTGTTGTATTCATGTAGACATTGGCTAGTATATAATCTTTACCTATCCCCTCCTCTCCCTCTCATTCATATGCATATGTGCATTTATATATAACATACATAGACACGCATACATGCACGCACACATCTAGCAATCATATGTAAATACACACGCAAATAATATGGCTAATTCAGTAAAATACTGGTTTGGAGCAGCCTAGATTACATATTCTTTTTTTTTAAACACTATTTTCTTAAAGTTTCTTTTGGGGGGAAGTAATTAGGTTTAATTTTATTTAATTATTATTTTTTAATGGAGGTAGTGAGGATTGAACCCAGGACCTCATGTATGCTAAGAATGTGCTCTACCACTTTGAACTATACCCTCCGCCTACTTTTTTTTTTTTAACAGAATTGACTCATTGATTAACCTCAGGAAAATTGCTGTGCTAACGGATATAAAGGAAAATGTCCAACAGGCACCAATAATGGGATATTATTATAACAACTTCCAGTCTTTTTCTGGATTGTTTACTGCCCTTAGCAATGTAGATTTCTAATCAGTCAATCAATCGGACCTGTTCTGAAAGTCTTTGAGAGCCAGGTAGGGGCGAGGGTAGGGGGCAGTGAACCAGCTGCTTGAAGCTGAGCAGGGAAGCAGAGGAGTGCCCTCAGGAGCTGCTATTCTGCGATGCTCCTCCCTCCAGGGAGCCCTGGGCTGAGGGGACCGTGGCATCTCTCACAGGGAGGCTCGGGCCTGCTGGGAGGCAGACTGGTAGGAAGTAGGGGTTTTGAAGGTGGGGGAGCAGGCGGACCATGACCAGCATGTTCTTCTCCTCAGTGGATGATGCCGTGATGGACAACGTGAAGCAGATCTTTGGCTTTGAGAGTAACAAGAAGAACTTGGTGGATCCCTTCATGGAAGTCAGCTTTGCAGGGAAAATGGTAAGTAAGGAGCAAGGAAACAAGAGAATTCCTATGGGAGGATGACGACTGGGCATCCCTGTGGACTGGTGCTGGTGGGGTGCAGGACAGAGTGAGGCACACACAGTGCCCCCCACACGAAGCGGGGCTGATGGTGGGACACGGGATGAGACACGCGTGCCCAGCTTTCTGGGGCTGCCATGCACATGCATGTGGACAGGTCTGCCTGGGTGTGTGAGACAGACACACAGGTGTGGGATGGACACGGAGAGGACATCTGGCCAGTGGATAGATGGAGGGATATTTTGGGGGAAATTAAGCAATAGTAAGGAAATCAGATGTGAAGTTAGAGAGCTAGGTAAACTTTAAAAAATATGCCATAATAACACAATGATTATTTCTAAAAAGCTGTGGCAGGAGTTGGGCAGAGAAGGGCCACTCTGTTGGGAGCCCTGGGGATCACGTATCTCTCTTCCTTGCAGCCCGCCTTCCTGCCCAGAGGCAGGGCTGTTGCTCCACGCCCTCTTGATTTCTGCCTGGGTGCCTCCCTCCATCCCACCTTAGGGGTGGCTTTGCCTCCCAACGCCCCCACCCACCAGGCTCTCCCCAGCAGCCTCAGGCTCTCCCAGGCTTCAGTGTCTCCTCTCCAGAGAGGAATCCACAGCTCTCTCTAACTCTGAACCCTGACCCCAATCCCAGAGCTCGCTATACACATCTCTATGTCCTGCCCCTGGACCTCTTTAAAGGCATCATCTTCTACCCCAGCCCAGCCCCCTTTCCAGAAGCCTCCATCCTAACCAAGTACCACCGTCAAAGGCAGAAAATGTGGGCCTGCCTTGATTCTTCCTTCTTTTTTGACTTCCTTGCATCAAATACGCCACCACTAGTTCTTGCCTTCAAAGGTCCCGAGGTCCTTTCCTCTTTGTTCCCCGAGCCACTGTCATCTCTCCCCAGGGCCACACAACAGCCTTGCGTCCGTTCTCTTGTCCGGGTTCTCCCCAAAGAAAGCTATCAGCATATTTAGTGTAAAACACAGCACTATTTATGTAATGAAGTTCAAATCTCATCACCTGGCGGATGAGGTCTCGCTCAGCGGAACTTTGTCGCCTCATCTCTATGGCCCGTTAGCCGGTTCAGTCTTTGCGCGAATGGGGAGAATCGCGCCCCCTACTGGGCTAACGAGGCTTTTCAGCCCTCTGGGAGCGCGGAGTTGAGCGGGTTTCAGCCCTACTGGCTCCCCCTGGCCGGGTGGTTGTGAGGATGCAAACTGCACAGCCCGCTCAGTGCCCGTGCGTCCTCTCATTTGCCCTGGGCACTCCGGCGTCCTTCCTGCCCCTCTCCCCCCGCCCCCCAAAGTGTGTTGCATCGTTCAAAGTCCAGCCTCTGTGACCCCCAAAGGCGTGTGTACTAGTTCTTTCCTCCCGGCTCCACGCGGCCGTATGCATGGCCCTCTTTTAGCCCGTTTTCCGTTGCATGCCAGCATCTGTTCCTTCGACTTTCTGGGAAATAACCTGATCTCCTTTTCTCCGTCACCTCAGTGCAGAGACGGTGGTGAAAATACTGGAAATGGGGGAGAATGACGTATCGGGCGGGCGCAGCCTCCGCCCCGACTGCCGGAATCCCGCGGAGGCGCCTCTGAGCTTCGTGCCGGCAGGGGGGGTTCCGGGGGCCGGCGGGGCGGGGTCCGCGCCCTCCCAGGGCCCGACGGCCTGGCCGGGAGGTCCGCTGGCCGCGGCGCCAGGCTCCGGCGAGTTGAGTCGGATGACTTGGGTGTTAACAGGAATATTGGAAATGGGCAGAGGAGAAGGGCTGAGAAGCGAGCCGGGTGGACGGAGGGTGCGCGCCCTGCAGCCGGCTGCCGCTTTGTTCTGGAGGCAGAGGCAGGGAGGGAGAGAGGCCAAGGGCGGTACAGGGCCACTGGGGAGGCGTTTAAAAGCTTAACAACAAACGCTTAAAGCCAAGGGTGGTGATGGAGGTGGTGTATGCTCCCGTGCACACGGCGCTTTGCAGGTTTCCTTTTCACTTAATCTTTTCTTGAAGTCATTTTGGAAAGAAGCCGAGTCGGCCTGCCCATCCCACCGACAAAGGGACCCCTGCGGTAGGTGGGGAGC